GAGGAAGATCTCATCTCCTTTGCATACTCCTTTGCCTGGCACTTAATAAGGTCCGGTACTAGTCATTTTCAGGTTATGCTTCCTGATTTGAAAGAGCAAATGCCAGTTCAGGGACTCATGCAGAGAATCATTGGACAGCCTTCTAAGGGATAGTATCTCTGATGCCCCTTTGCATGAGGATTGAGTAATCCTATCAATGCAGAGGTGTGGTGGCATTACCCCAGGTAAGAGCTAAACAGTGATCTGTACAGGGAAGCAGAAGTCAGCTTCCTTTGTGGTTAAATGCTTAGTGTATTCACAGAAATCTTCAATTGTTTCATGCATTAATTTATTGCAACACCCAAAAAGTTCTCTTGCAGCAAACAAGAAGTGCATGTGGTTCTACCAAATTTGCTGAGCCGTCACCGGGGGGGGGGGATTAATTTAGGCGAGTGTAGCTAATGCAAAAGTAGTATAGGGCAGATTACACGTCTTGAAATGCTCATGCAGTGCCAGCAACCTCAACTGTTTTTCTGTTTATCACCTTTTGGCAAAGGCTTCATTTTGTTGTTATTTGTGGCGGTTCCGTTTGACGTAGAAGAGGATCTAGAAGGTAGGGAACACAGGAAGATGGATGACTCAGATCCAGTAGCCAGATGGCAGTTCTAGCTATCAGACACCTGAAGAGTGGCAGGAAAGAGACTGGAAGGGTGAATGCACCCGAGGGGATGGATTTGGGAACTCCAAAATAATACTGCTTTCCCCTGCTTTATTGTTTGCTCCTGCATCTGGGAATCTCATCAAGCAAATGCCTTGAGGTTAGCTCATCATAAGCGAGCAAGCAGGAAAGGAAAGAAGGCCTTAGATCACAGCAAAGTGGAGAGTGCTCCACGAGGAGCACTGGCATTTCTATCTGCATCATCTCTGCTGATGACCACTCCTAGGGTTGCGGTGTTATTTTCCTGACAGGGCTCCTGTGCATTTAATTTTACATGAAGCAATGTACCCACTTTCTTAGCTTGCAGATAAGTGGCAGAGAAAGATTTACATGCCAAGCTGCTCTTCAAGACACAGGAGCAGGGCTACTGTGTTCTTATGGAGGAAAACTGGGCAAAACGGGCCTTGGTCTTCTGGGTGGAAAAGAGGAGCAGGGGGCAGAAACTGTGACATGGTAAGCAAGTAAATCTTTGCTGTGCTGTAGACCACAGCTTGAACCAACAGAAACAACCACCAAGACAAATAATGTAACCATTTAGAATTAGGACCCACAAAGGAAGAGGTTCAGCCCTGATTTCATTGAAGGTACCATAGGTGTATAATGTACATCAGACTGGTTTTCAGATGGTAGTTTCTTGGAAGCTTGTCAGGGTTTCCTCAGGACAAAGGTCAGTAGTCGTTGACAAGCTTCCCTGGAAGAGACCATGTCATTATCAGTCTTCCTCTGCCTAGAACAGGGGTGTCGAACTCATTTGTTATGAAGGCCGGATCTAACATAAATGAGACCTTGTTAGGCCAGGCTATGTGTGTCGTAAAATGTAATGCCAGGTGGCGGAGATATAAACTTTATAAAGGACTATGGTTGCCAACCCCCCTGGTTTGCCAGGGGTCCCCCGTTTTTTTTGGGGGGGGGTTCTACCTGCCACCGGCCAGATGGCTGGCGGGGGAAGCCCCACCCCCAACACCCACAGCCACCCATCTCTCTCCCTTTAAGTGTGTGGAACCCGTGTTTCCTCCCAAGCCTGATCTCCGCAAGCTTGCAGGGAAATGCCAGCTTCGTGCTCTTAAAAGGGAAACGCGGCTGCTCTTAAAGGGGAAACGCCGGCTCCTGCATTTAAAAGGGAAACACCGGCTCCTTTAAGTGCAGGGAACTGCCGTTTCTGGAGATCTGGCACACAGGCGGGGGGGGGGGACGTCCCCAACGTGACGTCATCACGTCGGGATGCCCCGCCCCCTCCAGGAACGCCCCCAAAGTCTCCCGCTGGGGGTGGAAGATGGAATTGGCAACCCTATAAAGGACACAAACACAAAGATTTTTTTAATACTTAGAAACATGCTTAAAACAGTAGCACTGTTTTAATTTTATTGCAATATTTTGTTTTATTAACAGTATCTGATAACTGACACCTCTTGCTCTGAATTATTGCATCAAAATGTCTGCGCTGTTGCAATCTTGAGTATGCTGTTCAAGTGTGTATCTGTAAACTGCAAACCTACTTTTGATTTATTGACATTCACCACAAAAATCTCATGCTCAGAGTTCTAAGTCTAGGACCCAGGTTAAAACATGAAATGGCTGAGTGATTAAGAGAGTCTGGTGAAGCAAGCTATGATGCAGCAGCAGCAGAGCTGGAAGCAGGAGATG